TTTAATATATAATGTGAGAGATCAGCAGTGGGTAGAGAGTCTGAGATAAACTCTCTACTACTTAGTTGGCAATAGGATGGAAAATTCCACTTACAGGGTCATAGGATGGCATTATTTGGTAAATATGTTAAGCAAGAAATGTGGAGACAAGACGATCCTCAGATCATCTCCTGTCAGGATTCCTGACACCAGTCTAGTTTACACATTAGGCATGCTCATATTAATTTAGATAATCATCAGAGTGGGAGGGACCTGAAAAGTGGATAAGACATTGGCTCAGACTTGAAACATTGAGGAGACCATAATAAATCAACAAAATAAAAATTTAATAAAACTTACAACAGAGCAAAAATTACAACAATATGAAATTTTTATCTCATCTTCTAATTCGTGGAGAGAGAGAGAGAGAGTTTACAATAATCGACTATGCTACCTCGACTTGAACTTGTTCTTCTAGTCAGTGATGCAGTCTTTAGGTGGAGGATCAATAATGACTCTTTGAGGTGATCAGAGATGGATGGAGGAGGATCTTTGGGGAATACAGGTGCACAAAAATAACTAGAGCAGCGAACTTGTCAGACTTTCTTGCTTTTGGATTCTGCTGATCACTCCTGGAGCACCATTACCTTTCATAACAGTAAGCGAGAGAGCCATTACACTTTGTGACTTTTTGGCAAGAGCCCTGATCACAGGCAATGGGTTTCTTTTATTTGAATATTCTGAACCAATCAAATGAAGACTCTTTATATGTCAACAGGATGTTGAGGGGTGTATGAAGGGGGTGGACGACCAGATGGTGGTCAAATTTAGAAGATAAGGGGTGTGAGAAAGGAAGTCAATTTCCCATTTTGTCATAAAAACATCATGTGGAAGAAATTTACTTCACACAAGGATTTATTAATAATTTTGAAATGAAAATATTACTTTCTTGTGGAGAAAATACGATATAATATTTTCCACATGATAAAATGAAGGAAAAGATGGATGGGTCTTGTTTAAGGACAAATTTCTGATCCAAAATAGGACTAAATTTAGATTAAATTATGTCATTAAATATATCAATCAGTTAAATTGTACAATTGTCAAAATCTGATTCTCACAAATGTATATCATCCAAATGTTCAATTTGATCAATATTGAGACTCAGTTTTTAATTAGGGTTATATATAAACCATTTTCTTAAGTTTAAAAGAATTGTATAGTTTAATTCTTATGATTCTTACATAAAGTAAATTATTAAAATATTTTATCATCATTTTTATTTTGTAGATGCTCTTTTACCAAGAATTATAGATTTTATTAGAGAATTTCCTGTGTTCCTACAAACTGTAGTACAGTGTGCAAGGAAAACTGAATTAGCTTTATGGTCTTATCTTTTTTCAGCTGTTGGAAATCCCAGGAATTTATTTCAGGTATATATACTATATTTTAAAAGTTGTTATTCTTGTTATAATAATATAACAAGAACTTTCTATGCCATTGAACTGTTTGATTGCAAATTACAAAAATTTTGAAAATAATTTTCTCATGAATTGAGTAAAGGAAAACAATCAATGTACAACTTTATTATCTTGTTGATATTGTACTTAATTTTAAATGAAAATGTTATTGGAGATTAAAAGAAAAACAAATTTGTTAATGACATCAAATGCCATTAGTGAGGGATAGATAATGATTAAATATCAAAACCTCATTCTGTAAAGTAGGTAATGTGATATTATGGATTCAAGGAAGATGTCAAGCATTAGATGGAAGATTTGAAAAAACAATATTTTTTCATCTTCCAAGAAAAAAACAATTGATGAAATCTATATCCAATAATTTAATTATTTTATTAAGCTTTGTTTAAAAAGGAAGCACTTTTATTTAACCAAAAAGAAATTATTTCTTAATATATGCATTTGTTTATATGTATTAAGTTATAAAAATAATAGTAAACAAGCATAAATGAGAAATTCTTTCACATCTATCTTATTCACTTGATATTACTCCTACCAACTATTATATTTTTATTGGCTGAAAATTTATAAATGAAAAAAAAATCCAAAAAATGAAAAGGTCTTAAAATCAATTTATTTCCCTTCTACATCATAAAACTTTATGCTAGCAGCATTTTTGCAAAAGCTGATAATAGCTTCAAACTTTTTGAGATTACATAATTGATTAATGTTATGTTCTTACTTAATAAAATATGCTTTTAAATGTGAAAAGTCTGAAAATTTCATTATTTCTAGTTCTGATATATTGTACAGTAATTCTTTTATATTAAAAAATTTAAAATCTTGGNGTCGAACAGTGCACACTCAGTAAGTAATCCTACAATTTTTTGTTTATAGCATAGTTTATATGTATTATTCCCAAAAAATTATACGCATTTTGGAAATGTTGAGTCAAATTAGTCTAGAATCGATTAATTTTATGGAAGAAACCTTTCAAACAGCTGTAGTCCGTAAACTGCATACATGCTGGGCTGTGATTGGCTGGACTCCTAGAAGTTGGATTCATAAAACTCAGAACGTATCTACCGTGTTATAGGGGGTTGTTTGTATATAATATATATGTATATACTGTAGTATATGCACTTGTATATGGTAGAGTACTGTTTAACTGAGATTTCACATTTTTCAAATGTTACACCACAAAAGTTTTCAATTTACAGAACTGATTATCTGTATATTGTATTGCTGCTGATGGAAGGAAATTTTACTCAAAAACATTACTGAAAGTAAACATTGGTTTCAGTAAGGTTTGAATTTTTTGTTGAATTTAGTAACAAATTGATATTTGCTTTGATTTGAAATTATTCAATTAATATAATACAGCTATACCTCGCCTTATGTCGGTAATTGGTTCCAGGAGAACGACTTAAGTTGAAAAACAATGTAAGTCGAATTTACTTGTCTCCGAATCTACTTGCCATTAGGCTAAACCATAAATTACCAATTCCCGTTCTGTATTTTATTTGTTAATGCATTTTTAGTAATATATGGTTAATAAGGATCTATTTTAAGCTTACAAACAAATAAATTTTAGTTTTTAATATAGTACAAAAAAAGTAATTTAAATTTACGAATGCATGTACTGTAAATACAGTATATACTTGTAAATGTATATATTATAATATGATTTTATGTGCTTTAAACATTTTTTTAGTGATATTACGACTTCAAATATTTGTGGCGGACAGACGTAAAGTCGAATAAAATGACTTAAACTTGATTTTTATTTTTCCATATACTTTTTTGACAAACGACGTATAA